GCGAGTTACGCATAACCGCCGAAGAAATCGCACGCGAGAACGTCACATGATATCGTCTCGCGATATCTGGAAAGGTTTCTTCTTTGAGAGAGTTTGGTGTACTTTTTCGTTCTTATTTAAACGATTTCGGCGTCACCTGAGTGTTGGCTTCGTAGTTATTTTAAACACAATACGTAATCTAACAGAAACCGTTTATTATGCAGGCTCGGCGAGCACGCATCCTTTGTACCACCTCTGTTGATTAACTACAATTCGGTGCAAGGTAGTAGGTGTTATCTATACGTTAGTGAATCGTATTATCCGACCAGAAGTCCTGGTATTCGAAATTCATTTCATGAATCACTCAGAAAAAAGGATGCCCTTGTGTCTTGAGGTGACTATTGGGTACAACTTCCCTGTGCTCGGAGCGCTCAACAGCACTAAACTCCGACAGAGAGGACAATTAAGTATATCTCTAACACTCATTAGGCGTTGGTCCAATCCAGAGTATTTTAGAAACTGATAGCATGTTTACGAGTGTGTAATTTGCCGTTTTCTATTTCTGATGGGAAATCTTAAAAAAATCGTAGTAACACAGTTTTTCAGCAAGTTTTGAACTTTTTTATCAGAAGTCAATTGATATTCAAGTACGTATGGAATTACCAGTAGACGTTATAAAACTTTGTTATTGTTGTTGTTGTTGTTTTTTTTAACCTAAAGTTTTAGTGAGTAAAGTGCGGCACGCTATTGTTTTTATTTTGATGATGACGACGATGTTATTACCGTCACTTTTCCTTTAGGTGTCAAAAGCAGCTGGCTCCGGCTGTGCGAAGGATGGATAACGCTATTCACCTGATAAATCTCCATCTATTTAGTACGTTTTAATAACTCTTATCCGCTGGATGGCTGTTTATTCGCTGGATAGCGCTATCCTCCCTTTGAACAACTCGCCCCAAGTCTGATCTCGTTATGCAGTGAAAGTAACTGATAATTCATTTAAAATTTAGTAAATCAGGCTATTGCGAATTAAATTAATAAATAAATTAAATTTTATTGCTTTTAAATCGACTTTAAAAATAAAAGATAATTTTTTTTGCACAAGAAATTTCTAAAAAACAGAAGATGAAAACCTATTAATTGGATTAAATTAAAGTAAGAACAATGATTGAACAATGAAAAGAGCCTTGAATAGAGCGGATCTGGCCTTTTGACAGAGTAGAGTACCACGAAAAGGAAATGATCACTTGACAACGCCATGAACAAAGATCGTGAAGGAAATCAAGGTTTTAAGCGTGTCTTATTAAACGTCTTCAGTTCTTCAGGGGCATCTTTGAAAAGCCCTTAAGATCGTCAAAATTTCCTACAGTGAGAGCATGTTGAATGGGTCGCGGTCAATCACAGAACCACAAGTCGGACATCTGGCAGCGATGTGTGGTGAAATCTTACGCACGCGTGGTGAGGAAGGTCTTGATGACGCGTCGGATAAATTATTACAGTCGTCAAATGGTTCCATAACGTTCATTTTCGTTGGAAGGTTGGGAACTATCCCTTTGGACTTGAAAAATGTCACAATTTGTTGTGAAATGTTTGCAAATACATCTCGCGCCTGAAAAACGAAATTCAGAGACGATATAAAAAGCAAACAACGATTTTTCTTGATAAACCCATCATAATAGAGATAAAATCATTGGAACTGATTTTTCAAATAATTTTCTTCCCCTTACTCAAAATTTACGCACACTTAATGCGCACTTAATTTTTACCTTCATGTCCTTCAAAGTTGGCGTCTCGATTCATCTTTGCTTTTTACTTTAACATCTTGAACCAAAGTGACGTTTACGAAAGACTGCACCTCTTTAATTGTAGACAACTGTTTTCCGTTTAAGTTAGATCAAATATGAACTCGAGCAGCCTTTTGAAACATTAGACCAACCAGAGCTAATGATTTCTTTTCATTACTCTCTTATCTTCAGACTCTTTCTAAGCTATCCATTACTTGATTTTTGATGTCGCTCTCTTTACCTTAGACAATCACTTTTTCGATATAGCTATAGTGCGTTGTGCTAAAACATCGCAAACCCTTCAAATGAAAGAGGTCTTACCATTGAATCATTGACTCCTGGATTTGCAGCGTGTCTTCTTAGAGACAAAAAGTCCGTGTTTATGCGACTCGCTGTCTTTCCTCCTTTAGATCTTAGCTGTCTTCTATTTCTTGAAAAAAGTTCATTCTAATGATAAAAGGAAGAATATAGAAGAGTCATCAACAGTAAAGACAAACTTCCAACCATACTTCTCATTGACCTCATTCTGAACGCCTTCTTTTTGCTCTCTTTAGCAGTTCATCTCTTTGAATGAAGCTAGTCACACTCCTATAAGCAGTATTCAAAATTTTTCCCAAGAAAACTCTTACAAGATGAAAGAATAATCTGGTAGAAATTCTTACCATTAATCTAAAGTCTGCGGGCCCAACGCCTACAACAACTATAGAGAGAGGCGAGCGTTCCACATCAACTAACACGTCTATCAAATGGTCTACGTCATTGACGATGCCGTCAACAATAACAAGTCCTATTGTGTAATGCTGAGAACACTGGGATACTTCTTTCTCGGCGTATGCCGCTATCCCTTGGATAATGGGCGCAAGATGGGTGGGTCCGCCCAACTTGACGTCTTCCAGTCTTTTCCAGTAGGCGTCAACAACAGCCTGACACAAGGAAGAGAGATAACTCCGTGATTAATGTGTATGTTGATATTGGCACAGGTACAATCTGAAATCCTATCTGGCTGACTGACTGGTTGGATGACTGAGCTGATAAGCTAAATGATTCTCTCACTGACACATTTATTGACTGACGTTTTGGGCGAGGGAATGACTGACTGTTGACTGGCTGATCAGTCAGTGACTAATTGACTGACTCACTCACCTTCCTGGTTACCGGTAAACTGACTGGCCGCCTTGACTGCACTGATTGATTGGCTGACTGATTGACTGGCGGACTCAATGACTGACTGATGGCTGACTGAATGAATGACTGATGGTCTGACCGCCCGACTGCCAGATTGACTAAGTGAACGACAGAGTAACTGACTGACTAGACATCACACACGAATTAAGGAGTAAATCAACTGAAAGACTGATGGACGGACGGAATGACTGAGTAATTAACTAGCTGACTGACTGAATGAATGAGGCTGTAACGAGTATGATGAGAAACCGAACAGTAAAAATTCATATTAGTACCTCTACATTCTCCAGCTCAGGTTTTCCTGTTTCACTATCAAGAGCAAACATATAAGGTAGTGCTCCTGTTGAGCAGGCCTGGGCTCCAAATCCATACGCTGCAATTTTCTTATCTTTCTCGAAGCTTGATAAAACCTTCCCTATTGACTTCAAGGTCTGAGAATACTCATTCTAAATGAAACACAGATTGAAATCTTATGTCATTACGAAATATTTATTGATCCATCCTCATTTGGGCAAAGGTCCCCACCCTTAGTCAGTGGAGACGAGCGAAAAAGAGGGCAAGAGACTGGCTTGCGTGGCTGGCGGGTTTGTGCGCACTAAAGCAATAATGAGCAGCTAACGCACGTGAGACTTGGGACAGAAGAAAGATTTATAAAGACTGCCAGTGGTTTCTCTCCTCTCCTGCTCTAGCCACTTTTCACTTAGGGCACACAAAACTGTAAGTCTGATTCAAAAGAGCCACACAGGCTAACGATAGACACTCAGTGGTAGTGTGCCATTTTTTACTCGTAAGAGAACCCGGAGAAGTTTTTCTCTAAGGTATGGGCGGCAAAGAAACCATGGAAAAGTACCACAGAGTACTTTTACACAGCACAGAGTGGCTTTATTATGGGAATCTTTGGAGCCACAACAGGGACTGATTACTCATTTAAAAAATATCCGGGATAAGTAATTAAAGCAATAGCTAAGTGGAATAGGAAGGCAAAGGGCACATTTCAATCACTATCAGGAAAAAAAGTGATTACGCACGATAGCAACAACAACGTGGCATGTTCTTAAGATTCAAGTATAGGACTTCCTTCTTGGGAAATCATGTCTATTCTCTCGATCATGGAAAAAGATGTTTGATAAGATTCGGTAAATATCGAGAACTCTCACTTTCTCGGCAAGAAAGACATAAACACTGTATGCATGTTGCATAAACCCAAAGTGACATTATTTTGATAGGAAGACAAACAATACCATTCGTAACACTTTACGTTCTGTTCGTCACCAAAAAAAAGCATCTACCTTTGATGCACAATCCTTAACTTAGGAGTTACTATGAATCCCCTTACAAGCGTCATCTTCTCACCTTCTCCTCGTCCATCGTATGCAGGGAATCCTGGGTCAAAGGCGGACCGTTGGAAATGGTGAAATCAATGGCGCATACCATTCTGATGACGCAATTTCCTCTGACGTAATCAATAAGACTAAATTGTTTATCCACGTAGCAGTGTAGAATACGAAGAATCCCAGAGTTTGAATAGCGTTTATTTTTAATCTGCTTCTTTGGATTCACTATATCCACTTGTTTGACTGCTCTGTGGAGAGAACCAAATAACGGAAATGTCAATTTTAATGATGTTAACCCTCGCGGGGAAGACGCGCGTGGAGTCGCGTTCTTTACGCGCGTAGTTCCTCTTGTAACGCTCCTCAGCAATATCAACAAAAATCAAACTGAAATAGTTTTCTTAGAGGATAAACGATTGCGTTATCATTTCGTGAATACAGCTTTATCTCCACATATTGCTAATAAGTCCTTTACGCTGAAAAAATTCCACATAACCTTAACAACCGGTACCTTTTGAAGCAAAACTTAGTTAGTGCACTAATTTGACATAAGCTTCAATTTTTGTTACGGGATACTTGTTCTAAACACTGTTTGTTTACTGAAACTAACTGACATATGTTTATGAAATACTGCGAAGATAAACTATCCCGAGGAGAGAGCAACTTTCAACGATCTCAAACCAGAGTCAACGATTGCATAAGTAACCCATAAGTCTGACGTATCTCTACCCTTGATCGAGTGAAGCTTCTTTGAAGTTGAGAGAGGGTAGAAGTGCTATTGGTGGTGGGGACAGTGTTAGTTCAGCTAAGGAGTGGGTTTACCGGCCAGGTATTGAGCACTTACTTTTGTATTTTGTTTTTCTTTTAACATTCGCACATTATTTTCATACCCTACCTCTTAAGAAGTAAATTCAATGGTAACTTGGCTTCCCCCACCAGGGTGTGGTTACCAGTGTTAGAGAAATGCCAACACGTTAGCACAAGCTGTCCATCAATGTTTTCATTACACAACTTCTGTAAACTAATATCCAACGGCGCCCACCTGAAAAAAATAGTGGTCAATACCGATCATGTGCACGTAGAGAGTAAACCAGAGTAGACGTTAAGAAAGTTTCTTGGGCGCAAAAGAAAATTTGAAACAACAACGAAGTGATTTACAATGTCGTGATAAACGCCTACAATAATTTATCTCTTAATTACCAAGTTACCCGTCCATCTACAATGAATTTCAACGGTAGGATTGATGCTTTTTGGATTAAGTTATAACAAAAAAAAACCTCGCTGCGGAATGTTGTTAGTAACCCAATAACGGCGCCCTTTTTCACACTTCAGATTGCTGTTTAACTCTTCTAAAATAACCGCGAAAGCGGAGAAGCCGGGTCCTATTAACACGACCCCCCCCCCCCAGGTAACCCTTGTCGTAACCCAGGCCGACATATGGATTAATTCTCGCCCAAACGCTAACTTGGGTCAGTACTTTTACTCGCACAACCATGCTTGCTACATCTTTTGTTTTGTTTTCGTTTTTAATTTGTTCTGTTTTGTTTTATGTTTTCACTTCACCATTCCGTTTTTAGCTAGATTTCTTCACCACCTTACAAGCCATTATCATTGGTTTTCATCGTCAGAGAGACCGACCTGGTTCAGTCTCTAGGTAAACAAATTGCATGTGCACCAGATTATGACCAACCACACTTGTTTAAAGTGTTCATATTTGGCTCTCTTTGCGACGATTCATTCCGAGCTACGAAATAAGCCCGGGCTTCCATAAAAAGGCCATTAGTGTGGCCACCTTTATATCAGTTTTCTAAGATAATTTTGTCTTTACTTGAAGAATGAAGATCACAGCTCTGGGCCTCACTTCCCACCCATAGAGAAACGCCACTTATCTTTGATGGTGGATTTTCTTTGTAATTGCCATACACGAGGTCGGGTAGCACAAATGATTCTCGTTTAGCAGACGAAGGTTTCATAACTTAGCATAGAGTATACTCTCTGCTCCTGGAATGAAGTTCATCGCACATACCCAGCCCCCAATCAGCTTTCGGGTTCCTTCGACAATGAGTGAGCTTTGGGCCAACGATGCAAGTACGCAGAAAGGAATGAGATGAATTCACGAAAAAATGCACCATGAATCTACTTACTTGGGACACGCTGTCCTTGTAACCACTTCAGATCTATAAACTGGGTGAAGATGATTACTCCTTGGAAGAAGTCGATTAACCTCAAAAAACGAATCACATTTTCCTAAAAGGCCTTTCTTCTCCAGATTTGTGGCGCCAAAATGAAGTCTAACATTTGTTTTATCATCTCTCACATCGTCCACGTAAATGTGAATATAACCACGTGACTTGACGTCTCCTGGCACTCTCAGTGTTCTTATCAACGTACCACAACTTGATTCTAACAATGTGTCGAGCTCGATTTCAATCGAGCCCACAAAATCGTGTTTACGGAGATCTTTGGATGTAAAGTTGGCCAAGTCGAACACTGAAAACCTTAACCTTGGATAAACCGTAGAGTTGGCCTCAATGATAAATGTTTCTACAAACTACAAGAAAAATAGAGGTAATATTAAAACATGCTACAAATGAGATAAAAAATACAACCTTCGAAGATCTTGCGATCAATTAATAAAGATACAAAACTTGAAACAAAAGAAATATAATAAATAAAACGTCATTTATTGTTATCTCTCCATGCAAACGGTTTTCAGGTGAAAGAACATCGTTTTTTAAGACTTAGTTCGGTTTGTCCAATTTCACGTTCTTTGATCTCGTCCGTTATTTGTATTTTTTTGTTGTTGTTGTTGTTTTTTTGTTTTTACACTCTTGACGGTGGAAGAGGACAGATCTCGGCCGGATTATTGTGGTATTGAGATTGAAGTACACCCGTTAAAAACTTTAGAGAGCAATATCCAAGAAAGGGGGGAACAAAGGAATGATAGAGGGTATAGGTATTGGCAAAACGGAGTGAATTCGTATCCGCAAGTTTTCTTAATAGTCAAATTTTCGAGTCAATTTTGTTTGACAAGATTTCCCCTTAAAAGTTGTGTTTGGTGGTGAGGATAAAAACTGCTTTAGCCTGTCAAACTCCCGTGTTCAGTAAAAAATTGTCGCAGACGAAATTTGCTTGCTTGAATGACTTGAAAAAATAAGTCGACAAGGAAACTTAAACGGAAAAATCTTCTCCAGCAAATCAGTTTCTTGACAAGTGTATTAGACTTGAATTTTTCCTTTAAGAGTGAAGTTTCCAAGGAAATGTTGCTTATTTGAATACGGCTTTACATTGTCGGAGAGTTTACTAATGTCGAACGATATGGATGACAGAGCGGAAACAACTATTGGTGGGTTTTCTCTAGAACGGAACGAAAGATATTTTGCCCAGCTTACCATTATTTACCAGTTAAAATAATGACTTAGATTTAGAGAGAACATCGTAGATATGTAAAATAAACGTAAAAAACTCGGAACCTAAATGCAAGTCATGGCCTGCCGACAGTTTGGACAAAGCAATTTATAATTACCTCCACCTGAGAGCTATTTACAGAATACAGTATACATTTTTAATAACTTCGAAATGAAGACCCCAAAATATGGCTTCAAAGGGAAGATTATCCTCTCCCAATCGCATGCATTGATGAAAATCTAAGAGCGCCGACAGTTTAACATTCAAAATGAAAGGATTCCTACTCTTGGCGGTGTTTAATCCTGAGTGGAGAGCGATAGGTACCAAATAAACGCGTTTAACTGCGTAAAAAGTAATGAATAAAAGAGAATTTAAACTACATGACTACATCTCACAGTTCGCTTTTCTTTTTGCGTTATTTTTTAAAAATTAAAAAAGTACATTTTGGCGATCAAAAGGAGCAGAGTTTTTAATTAACTAGAGGGATAAAGGTGAGTTCTTTTGATATTCAGTAATCATCTTTTCTTGAGAGCCGACCTACGCTAATTAACTGGATGATAAATCTCACATTTTTCTTGGAAAACCACTGCGACCGCATAATAATTGTAGAAGGTTAACTTGCTCGAAAATTCATATCGTCATTCGATGTGATCGGGATGAAAATAACAAACATCTAAAAATGAATATGATGACGAAAAAAAAACTGTTTCTTATCATGCCCGCAAGGGGCTTTTTTGTTTTCGCTTCTTATATAAATATATTGGTGGCAGGTTCTTTTTTCTTTTTTGATGTCTTATTCAACCTCTCACTAACTTAGCATGTTATTCAGTCACTTATCGCCCCCTTAAGACAAAATAGAAGCATAAAGGTAAATAAAAGTCAAACAGATTTTTTTCTTTTTCGCCCTGAGCATGCTAACGAAGTGCTGCAAATTGATAACTCGATAATTAATATCATATTGCGGACCGTATACCTTTGGATGAGACATGTTTGGTATGGATTCTGTCCGTCCGTATTCCATCCATTGCCCGAGTCTTTTCGCATAAAGCACACACATGGGGTCTGTTCTCGAGAAGGTGTCCAGTTGTACGAGGTCTGTACACTCAATAAATAACTCCACTTTGCGCTTGTTTTGAAAAGCGTTCGTCTTCAGCGTAACGTGACCATTCTGTACAAGTTTGGATTGTAAACTGCTACGGATATTATCTTCAGAAGCGATTTTGTTCCTAAAGGACGGCATTGCTTTTCTCTCCGCCATTCTGTAAAAGAAAGAGTTTCTATCACCATAAGTCTTGATAGGAAGACCGCTTAACTTTTTTGCAAATTAGATCCAAAATCTAACAACTGAAAAAGCAGACACTATACACTGAGTCATCGATCGTCAATGTTGGCCTTTGAATCATAATTTTGGAAATATATTCAAAGAGCTTTTAGATAACAGTCGTTAATGTGATATCTTACCTGTTGGAGGTACCTGCTAGCAATTTGACTAGCCTCCGCGTTATTCAGCCAGAACAAATGAATCAACAATTTCCTCCAAATTTTTTTAAATGTCAGTACGGACTCCAAACTGATTAATTGATCTCTTGTTGAGTCAAACTCTCTTTGAAATGAATCTCCGGCCTTCAACTCGAAAAACAATAAAATGTCAATTCGTTGACTTCAGTTTCTGTTCATTTTAAAGTCGCAAAATAAATAAATTTACTTTTTCTTTCACCGCAATGCAAATGGTCTTTGTTCACCATTTTTTTTTTCATGCTTCATGACTTTGTCGCCGTCATAATAAACTCTTGGCGAAAGTAATTATTTGATAAGAAAAAGGAAAACAATGAACAATTTTAACTCGAGCAACTTAAACCTCATTGGTTCTCATTGTTTATTACACGGCCTAAAATCAATCGTACAAAATGCAAATTTCGATGAAACTTTCCTACGAGGTATTGATCATTAGCACCTCGCATGAATCGAGATTACCCTTCAGTCTGTGTAAATAAATCACGACACATCACTCTGTCTTCCCTCCTCTTGTGAATTATCAACGGTTCAAAAGACTGTGAGGTATGCTTGCTAGTCTTCTACTTATTACCAAACATCCCGAAGAATATAATGTTAACTTAGCATTTTCCACAGTGAGGGCTTCTTCAAAGCACCCGAGAAATCAAGAAATGATGAAATTGCAGTCGTTTTTGTCGTATTTTAGCGTCAACCAAGCTAAGTTCGATGGCCCTCTAACTTATGACAACAGTTCGAATGACTGAAACTCGGCGTGTTTAAAGGAAAAACACCTACCCCTGTTAGAAAATTAGAGCAAGGAACTCATCTTCTTTCCAATTCCAGTTCATGGCCGATAAATGTCAAAATGAACCCGCTAACCTCTGCTCTGCCGTCTTCACATGACGCACTTTCCAATTGTGCTTTGGTGTTGCGTGACAAACACTGCTGTCGTTAAGGACATAATTATGTCCCAAAGTTCATTACGTGACGTACTTGTTGATGTCCCAGAGGCCTTGAATGTCGGTTTCCTGATTGAAACGTTTCAGCGAGTTTATCACGATCAGTTCCCTAATGACTGTGTTGTCCAACTTCGATCAGTGGACGTGTTTGTTAGTGTATTGACTTTGCCATGGACCTACACTTTAAGTCCGTGTGATGGTTTTGGCAGTCAAAGATGCAGGATCATTTGATCGGCAGCATTAAGTACGTTGTTGTTCATATGTGATATTCTTGTGGACATTTGTTCGTTATTGTTCTGACAACAAATATTTAATCCCCTGAGTTAAGTTGGCCGGCATAACCATTCATGCTTCAAATAGTGAATAAATTAACGTGTACCGTAAAGTTCGCGGTCACTCGATCAAAGATACTCAGAGTAAGAATCGATCATAGTCGATCAGTCAGTCAGAGTCAGGATGGTTTAAGAGGGAAGCGAATTTTTTGTATCAGAGACCAGAGATTAAAAAAAGGACTGGTCGAGTGTCCTCGGTACATTTTATTTGAATGTGGAATGTTGTTGAATGTTTTCTAGCTGTTTAAATATTGGAAAAAACAACTATTTTAGGTCACAAGAACTTTACAGTACACATAGGTCCCAGGCGCACTAGGCTGACAAAATTTGTTTTGATCCACCAAGAATCTCGGCAAATCTGTCGCCGCTAAATTTTCAATTTGTCAATCGTGGGCGCAGTGAAAAACAGCAAAATATTTTTTTACTACCAAGTGCCAATCACATGGATATATAAATTGAGCAGTACTTTAGACCTAGAAATACAGCTTAAATGTAAACTTGAGAGTCATAATAGTTGTATTCTGAGTATCCTGAATTCTGATCGTCACACAGCATCCCGAGGTACAAATTTTCTTTCCTCACCGTTTGATTGCCGCGTAAATATTAAATATTTTAACGACGTTCTGCTTGATAGCCTGTGTACAGCTGCCCCCCCCCATCCTCCAAAAGGAAATCGTAGGGGAAAGGCTGTACACAGGTTATCTGCTTGAAAGGCTCTGTTTCACAAAATAAACAAAAATTTCTCCCACTACGCTTGTGCCCTCAGCACACTACTGATAGACCCAAGTACCTGGTTTACCCGTGCGATGGAGAACACCCCCAGCTAGCAAAATGTTTTTGATGGAGGGGATTCGTCTTGGTAACGATCGCTAGATTTTACAGGGACAAAGCTATCAGTCAGTGTGGGGTTCCCTGAAAATATTTAGGGGAATAGGGTGGGTTAGTAATCTAGTTTACTACTCATCGACTGCTTGTTCTGGCCCCCCCCCCTCCCACCCTTCGAAGGGAAGTTGGACTCCCCTTCTCCCCGGGCCAAGTGAGGCACCAAAAGCAGAGAGGCTCAGTCAAGGCATATATCAGCATAATTTACGTGGACAGCCAGTGTGTATTTAGGGTCCTAGGGACAAATTCCATAGGAGTGGATGCTTTTCCTGGAATTACTAGTAGCAGAAGCACTGGTTTTTATATATTAAGTGGCTGCTTGAATTTCCGGCCGGTAGTTTTCCTCTTAGAAGCAATGCTCTATATTGTTGCTTTTGATAGCAGTTGATCAAATTGTTACGTTAGTATCTCGTGTATCTTTGATCATAGTTGATCAGATTCCTTAGTTAGTATCTCGAGCATCTTTTGATTGTAGTTGATCAGATTGTTACGTTAGTATCTCGCGAATCTTTAGATTGTAGTTGATTGTTACATTAATATCTCGCGCATCTTTTGATATTAGTTGGTCAGATTGTTACCTTGGTATCTCGCGCATCTTTAGATAATGATTGATCAGATTGTTACGTTTAACTTAGTATCTCGCACATCTTTTGATTGTAGTTGATCGGTTCGTAATCAAACGAGTGATTAACAAAATCAGACGACCGCGAAGCAGGTGTCCTATTTGTTAATTAGGAGTATGATTACCAACAGAATTGGAGGACACGAAGTCCTGTTACCATTAATAAAAACTATGACATAATTTGAGATAAAAACTAGACATAGGTTATACGTTTTCAGAAAAAAAAAAAACAGGTAACTCGGGGAAATTTGAGACAACGGTGCACGCACAGGACGCGTTCTGTCAACTTGCACAGTCATGAAGTGTTAACCGTCCCTTTAACTGTCCTATAACACTGTCCAATTACATGCATGACGCGTACATTATCCTATCAGTACTCAAATCGGGGTGGTGATTACCAATCACTTTCCAGAATTTTGTAATAGTCTTGATTAATGATGGTAATAGGGCCGAGTGGGGTACAATTCGGCGTAATCGTACGAGTGATTAACAAAATCGGACGACCGTGAAGCGGGAGTCCGATTTGTTAATCACGAGTATGACTACAGACCGAATTTGGCGACACGAAGTACTGTTACGAATTAATCAAAACTATGACAAAATTTGAGAAAGAAACTAGACATCGGTTGTACATTTTCATAACTTGAAATCAACAGTTAACTCGGCGAAATGCGAGACAACAGCGTGCACTCATGACGCGTTCTGTCCACTTACATAGGCATGACGTGTTAACTTTCCCTTTAACTGTCCTATTACATAGTCCAACTACGAACATGACACACAAACTGTCCGCCTATTAGTGCTCGAATCGGGCTAGTGATAGCCAATCACATTCGAGAATTCTGTTACAGTTTTGTTTAATGATGGTAATAGGACCGAGTGCAGTCCAAGGAGTCCGGTTTGAAATCATACGAGTGATTGATAAAATCGGACGACCGCGAAGCGGGAGTCCGATTTGTCAGTCACTTGTATGATTTCAGATAGAATTAGACGACACGAAGTCCTGTTACCAATTAATCATGACCATTATAATTTCCGGAAAAAATACATTCAGGACAAACATCTCCAGTAGGGACAATGTCTAAAGCAAATAATTTGGAAATTTCCTAGATTTTTTTCCGAGTTAAGTGGTTGCTGCTATGGTTATTATGAACAATTCTGTGATTGGTGGATTTAGCTAAGTGGACTTAGTATGATCGGCTGCTTCGACTTTCCGATTTCAGGTGTCCAATTACACTGTTCTATTACAACTGTACAGAGTGATTAATGAAATATAAAGCAGCTGATCCACCAATCACATTTGAGGAAATCGTAATGGTTATGATTAATAATGGTAATAGGACCGAGTGGAGTCAATTTGTTAATCAAGAGTATGATTACAAACAGAATTGGACAACACGAAGTCCTGTTACTAATTAATCAAAACTATAATAAAATTTGAGAAAGAAACTAGACATCGGGTATACGTTTTCATAAAAACATCAACATTTAACTCGGCGAAATGCGAGACAACAGCGCGCGCTCATGACGCGTTCTGTCCACTTACATAGGTATGACGTGTTAACTGTCCCTTTAACTGTCCTATAACACTGTCCAATTACAAGCATGACTCGTACACTGTCCTATTAGTGCTCAAATCGAGCTGGTGATAACCAATCAAGTTCGAGAATTTTGTTATAGTTTTGATTAATTGTGGTCAGATTGTTGCGTTAGTATCTTGCACATCTTTAGATTGAAGTTGATCAGTTTGTTACGTTAGTACCTCGCGCATCTCTTGATTGTAGTTGATCAGATTGTTACGTTTGTATCTCGCGCATCTTTGGATTATAGTTGATCATATTGTTACGTTAGTATCTCGCGCATCTTTAGATTGTAGTGGATCAGATTCTTTCGGTAGTATATTGCGCATCTTTTGATTGTAGTTGATCAGATTGTTGCGTTATTATCACACGCATCTTTAGATTATAATTGATAGTATGTCGCGCATCTTCACATTGCAATCAATGAAATTGTAACGTTAATATCTAATGAAATTTTTGGTTGTAGTTGATCAGATTGTTACGTTAGTATCGTGCACATCGTTAGATAATGGTTAATCAGATTATTACGTGTCTGGAGCATCTTTTGATTGTTGTTGTTCAGATGATACGTTAGTATCTTACGCAACTTTTGATTGTAGTTGAACAAATTGTTAGTCAGTTTAGAATGTCCCTTTTACTCTTGTAGATCGGATTATTTCGTTAGTATCCTGTGCATCTCTTGATTTTACTGCGATCAGGTATCTACGTTGGTATATCAGACATCTTTTGTTTGTAGTTGATCAGATTTTTACGTTGATAACTTCCTCACCTTTTGATTGTAATTGATCAGTTTGTTACGTTAGTATCTTGGGCATATTAAGATAGTTACTGATCACATCTTTATGTAAGTATATCACGCATCTTTAGATTGTACTTGATCAGATTGTTACGTTAGTATCTCGTGCATCTTTTGATTGTAATTGATCAGAGTTTTATGTTAGTATCTTTCGCAGTTTTTTATTGAAATTGATCTGATTGTTACGTAAGTATCTCTTGCATATAGATAGATTATAATTGATATAATTGCAACGTTAGTATCCCGCACACAATTAGATTTTGGTTGATCAGATTGTTTTGTTGCTATCTTGCACATCCCTTGATCGTTGTTGATAGAATTGTAACTTTAATATCTCGAGTATCCTTTGATTGTCGTTGATCGGATTGTAACGTTTGTATCGCACTCATTCTTTGATTGTTGTTGATCCGATTGTTACATCGTTTATCTTTTGATTGTTTTTTATTGTGTTGCAAGGTTAGTGCCTTGCGCATCTTTTAGCTGATCAGCAGATTATTTTGTTGGTATCTCGCGCATCCAATGATTGTAATTGATCAGATTGTTACCATAGTATCTCGCTCGTCTTTAGACTGATCACTGTGTAATTAATCGGATCCTTTTGCGAGTATCTCGCACATCTTGTGAGGGTAGTTGATTAAACTGTTACGTTAGTATCTCACGCATCTTTGGATCATAATTGATTAGAATCTAACGTGAGTATCTCGCGCATCGTTACAATGCCATCGGTGAAATCGTTAGTATCTTACGCAACTTTTGATTGTAATTGAACAGATTGTTACTCTAGAATATCCCACCTATTAGATTGTTGTAGATCAGATTGTTACGTTAGTATCCTGCGCATCTTTTGATTTTACTGTGGCCAGATATTTAGGTTAGTATATCGGACATCTTTCGATTGCAG